TTTACTAACTACTTTTTTATCTTTTTTCCACGACACACACACACACACACCAGGAAACAGCCAGTGACAGCTGACTAACTCCCAGGTACCTATTTACTGCTAGGTAACAGGTGCATCGGGGTGAAAGACTCTCTGCCCATTGTTTCTCGCCGGCGCCGTGAATCGAACCCGGGCCCACAGGATTACGCATCCAGCGTACTTTCCGGTCAGTCACCGGCCCCTGTGTGCGTGTGTGTGTGCGCGTGCGCACCTGGATGTATCCCTGTGCCATTGCTTGCTTGTGTGTGTGTGTGTGTGTCTGTGTGTGTATGTTGTATATGGACCGCGGAAAGGGGTCCCATGTTAACGCCACCAAGCGGAGCCGGTCGGCCGAGCGGACAGCACGCGGGACTTGTGGTCCTGGGTTCGATCCCAGGCGCCGGCGAGAAACAATGGGCAGAGTTTCTTTCACCCTATGCCCCTGTTACCTAGCAGTAAATAGGTACCTGGGTGTTAGTCAGCTGTCACGGGCTGCTTCCTGGGGGTGGAGGCCTGGTCGAGGACCGGGCCGCGGGGACACTAAAGCCCCGAAATCATCTCAAGATAACCTCAAGAAGCGTATTGTGTATTTGGAAAACAGACTGAGCCTTTTTAGTGCTCATCATGAACCTTTAACAAGGTATAATGGCCAAGCTGGCAACAGAAAACGGATCCACGTACTCCTGTTAAATCTACTTTTTTTTCAGGCTGCCACATTGTGTAGGGGTTGATGGTGGAGAGGGAGGAATGGGTGGTGGAGGGGTGAGGGGGAATGTGGTGGTGGAGGGGGTGTGGGGGAATGGTTGGTGGTGGTGGAGGGGGTGGCTGGGAGCACTTCCGTGTCCCACCAAGGAAACTAGGCGAGAAAGGTCTGATAATCAGTGTTGAAAGACTGTAGCAAGAATGGTCTGGGCTGACACTGTGTATACATAGTGAGAGTGTGACGGAATTGCTGACTGTAGAGTGAGTGAGAGACACACACACACACACACACACACACACACACACACACACACACACACACACACACACACACACACACACACGGGGCCTTGTAGCCTGGTGGATAGCGCGCAGGATTCGTAATTCTGTGGCGCGGGTTCGATTCCCGCACGAGGCAGAAACAAATGGGCAAAGTTTCTTTCACCCTGAATGCCCCTGTTACCTAGCAGTAAATAGGTACCTGGGAGTTAGCCAGCTGTCACGGGCTGCTTCCTGGGGGGTGTGTGTGGGGGGTGTAAAAAAAAAAAATATATAGTTAGTAAACAGTTGATTGACAGTTGAGAGGCGGGCCGAAAGAGTAAAAGCTCAACCCCCGTAAAAACTCAACTAGTAAACACACACACACACACACACACACACACACACACACGGAGCGAACGAAGGAGGGAAGAAACGTGTAGCTTAGGCTCACCTCGGGCCGAGTGTAATCACCGAGGCTTTCCATTATAAGACCACAAGGTGTGTGTGAGGGGGAGAGTGATGGTGATGTTGGTGGTGATGAACGAGGGGGGGGGGTGCGGGAGGTGACAAACACAGAGAGGATAATGAAGAGGTGTTGGAGAATGAAAAAAGTCATTACAGAGTAGCAGAATAAAGATGATAAAGAGAAATGAAGATGCCCAATCATTTTTGGTTGAAGAGACGTTATTTAAATACGAACCCTATTGCTGGCTTGTAACGAGAGAGAGAGAGAGAGAGAGAGAGACAGAGAGAGAGAGAGAGAGACAGAGAGAGAGAGAGAGACACAGAGAGAGAGAGAGAGACACAGAGAGAGAGAGAGACAGACAGAGAGAGAGAGACAGACAGACAGACAGAGAGAGAGAGACAGACAGACAGACAGAGAGAGACAGACAGACAGACAGAGAGACAGACAGACAGAGAGAGAGACAGACAGACAGAGAGAGAGACAGACAGACAGACAGACAGACAGACTGGTGATTGATGCCGTTCTCTTTCATTTCTTCTATTTTCCCTTCTTCATGGTCATTCTTGCTGTTCCTGCCCGAGTAGTTAAGCGTGTCCCCGCCTCTAGCACGGCGGCGCTGCTCTCACCAAGACCAGTATGTCATAAGGCTTTGGTCCTTATAACATTGTAGGAAATGGCCTTGTCTGGCATGACTGTAGATACACCCCCCCCCCCTCCCATGATAATTGCGATGACCCCTCCGCCATGGGGGGACTCCCTCCTCCATGGGGGGACCCCCTCCACCATGGGGGGACCCCCTCCACCATGTTGAGGGTGGTAGACCCCCACCCCTGCTCCTCCACCCCGGGGCAGGCCCACAGTACTCACGTCTGCGATTTACAGATTTGGAAAGTACTTGGAAGGAGTTGTCTGCTCTTCTTGAGGGGGAAGACGGGGTCGGAGGGAGGGAGAGGGAAGGGAGTGTTTAAAAAGTATTTATAATGGGTATAAAGACTAAGCCCTTACCCTTGAATATATTATATTGAATATATTATATTGAACTTGAAATGGGATGTGAAGATGGATTGAAGGAATGCTGGTACGAGGATCGAACGCCGGTCCTGCAAACAACGAGGCCTCCTTTCACATCCAAGTGGTTGGATGTGAAAGGAGAGGGAGGCAAAAATGGGAGAGAGAGGATGGAAGGTAAAGTAGGACAAAATATGAAGGTAGTGAAACAATAACATTGTGAATTGGAGCGGTCAATAAAAACAACACAATCGTCTCCCGAGCGATTGTGTCTGGAATGTTGCATTTTCACTCACTAGTAATTGGAGACCTGGTTGTAAACCCTATTGGCGGGTCGGGTTCCTTGAAAACAGCAGGGTAAGGCTTACCATGAGCTGTGAGAAGGGAGACCTCTAAGCCTGCTAACAGGAGCTAGTGTGTGTGTGAGTGAGAGAGAGAGGGGGGGGGAAGGAAGGGAGAGGAAGAGAGAGAGAGGAAAGAGAGAGAGAGAGAGAGAGGGAGGGAGGGAGCGAGAGTGATGGCCCTTCTGTTGTAATTCTGTTGTCTTAATGGATGGGTAGAGGCCACACGGACCGTTCCCACACGGGGTGGAGCTCCCAGCACACGTGAGGGCTCAAGGGAGAGCTGACAGATAACATCTCACCAGAAACACGCCAGTTAAGGGAAGCTTAGCACACGAGGCAAGGACAAACTAAAGCAAAGATTAATTTCGAAGACGCTGGCACTTTAGGAGGCCTGCCTACTGCAGTAAGAACTTCCGTGTTGCTGTTCCTACTACCACTGCCACACGCCACAGCTGGTTGATACCTGGTTGATACAGCTCTTTCTTCCTCCAACCAAGGCACTGATTCTGCCAAGGATCGAACAGATCTAAGTCACTAGGAAGGGCTGTACACCCAGTGGCACCACGAAGGAGTTACTTGGCACCACTACTGACGTAGACAAGTCCACACCTGCTTGATGGGGTTCTGGGAGTTCTACTCCCCAAGCCCGGCCCGAGGCCAGGCTCGACTTGAGAGAGGTGGCAGGGAGGGAGGTGGACTCCTGAAGCAGCAGGGAGGGAGGTGGACTCCTGAAGCAGCAGGGAGGAGGAGGAGTCCTCTGAAGCAGCAGGGAGGAGGAGGAGTCCTCTGAAGCAGCAGGGAGGAGGAGGAGTCCTCTGAAGCAGCAGGGAGGAGGAGGAGTCCTCTGAAGCAGCAGGGAGGAGGAGGAGTCCTCTGAAGCAGCAGGGAGGAGGAGGAGTCCTCTGAAGCACCAGGAGGAGGAGTAGTCCTCTGAAGCACCAGGAGGAGGAGGAGTCCTCTGAAGCACCAGAGAGGACTAGGGTGCCGGGGACGTTCCCATGCGTCAAAGCTGAGCAAATAGGTGATTACAGGAGAGTTCCGCCATGATGGAGGGCAGTGAGGCTAAGCATATGCCCGGGTTGAGCAAATAATGGCGCCTCACACACCAGCGGCTGTGCAAACGTTTCGCCAATTATACTTGTAGATCGCCCTTGGAGGGGGGTGAAGGGAGGGGGGTGGTGAATGGTATCGGGGGAAGGGGGACGGTGATAGAGGAGATGGTGTAAGTGTGGATGGAAGGGTAAAGAAGGTACTGGGGGAGAGAGAGATGGAAGGGCAAATGTAAGGGGATTTGGAGGTAGAGAGTGAGGGGACGTTGGGACGAAGAAAAGGGTACAAAGGTGAGGGTGAAGAGGGGGGATAGAGAAGTGCTACCACGATAGATAGAATGGGAATTGGTGATAACTTCAATCACTGATGACAGTAACCTGTCCACCTGTCAATCACTGATGACAGTAACATCTGGTATGAAGATGGTGGTAACGCGGGGGGGGGGGGGGATTATTTCTCCTTCACTGTTAGAGAGACGGAGGAGAGCTGGCCTCTGTCCATCTCCTATTTTCTTAATGCGGAGACCGCCGAGGGAGTTGATTGCTGTCTCCATCTTTTCTGAAGTGTCTCCTGTCCTCCTCTCAGTCTATTTTTGACGTGAAAAGGAACTTTCTTTCCTCCCGTTATGTCCCCCTCCCATCTTCTCCCCTCCCATCTCCTCCCCTCCCATCTCCTCCTCTCCCATCTCCTCCTCTCCCATCTCCTCCCCTCCCGTCTCCTCCCCTCCCGCTAGGCTTCCTGATGAAAACAGAAGAATTTGATGCTTGCGCCGCTCGTCGCCCTTTCCAACCTCTCCCCCATTCCTCCACTCCCCATTTCCCCTTCCTCAAACCCCTATCCCTCCCTGGCTAGCCTTCCCCCCCCCCCCACCCTGCCTACCCTTCCCATTCCCATCCCATTCCCGGTCTGTCCCCCATCCCCGGTCTGTCCCCCATCCCCCCCTCCATCCTCCTTACCCCTTGCACAAGGTTTGGGGGGAAAATTTAATATCTTCTAAAATAACCTTTGTGAGATATGGTGTATCATTACATTGTTTTTATGGAAATAAAAAGTCAGGAGATTTACGTAGTCATAATTGGATAGTTACGCGATTGTTGTAATTATGGCGATGTTTAAAAACAGCCGTAAACATGATTTTGAAAGGTTGTAACCTAGATGACCAGCTGTTGCCGGGGAAGAAGTGTTGATGCTTGTGTTGTAGGGATAATCTCCCGCTGTGGCCGGGGAAGAAGTGTTGATGCTTGTGTTGTAGGGATAATCTCCCGCTGTTGCCGGGGAAGAAGTGTTGATGCTTGTGTTGTAGGGATAATCTCCCGCTGTTGCCGGGGAAGAAGTGTTGATGCTTGTGTTGTAGGGATAATCTCCCGCTGTTGCCGGGGAAGAAGTGTTGATGCTTGTGTTGTAGGGATAATCTCCAGCTGTTGCCGGGGAAGAAGTGTTGATGCTTGTGTTGTAGGGATAATCTCCCGCTGTTGCCGGGGAAGAAGTGTTGATGCTTGTGTTGTAGGGATAATCTCCCGCTGTGGTCGGGGAAGAAGTGTTGATGCTTGTGTTGTAGGGATAATCTCCAGCTGAGGTCGGGGAAGAAGTTTATTTTATTATTAACATCTTTATTGACAAAAATTAATTACAATTTTGCCTAATCTGAGGAATTCAATTATGCTGTATACACGTATCAGTGTACGAGTCTGTAAATACAACTTTCTATTGTGCACTGCCACACAAGGGCACGGACGGGTTGATAAGAGATACATCTTAAATAAAGTATACATCAAATCAAATTGTTCTTCATTCTTTAAAAGGGACAAGTAAATTTTGGATAAATTGTTAGGATGTCGTCCAGTACACCAGATTCAATGAAACAGTTACACAGTTGGTGGTACAATAAGAAGAGCTGATATTCGTTTTGTAAGGAATTATGAAAGGTCACTGGTACCTTTCATTCACTTATCTATCATATTATGGACCATTATGACCTGGTTCGTATAGATAGAATCGCATTTTACAGGCCCTAGTTCGATTAACAAAGGCACAGGTGGGCAGATATTACGTTTCTGTTTATTATATTATTTAGCGTTGATCTCTTCATCAGTGGTAAGTTGGTCATGAAGTTCCTTTTGATAACCTTTTCCGTGTACACCACAACGGTGGAGGAGGGGTGTGGTGGGGCAGGGGTGTGGTGGGGCAGGGGTGTGGTGGGGCAGGGGTGTGGTGGGGCAGGGGTGTGGTGGGGCAGGGGTGTGGTGGGGCAGGGGTGTGGTGGGGCAGGGGTGTGGTGGGCAGGGGTGTGGTGGGGCAGGGGTGTGGTGGGGCAGGGGTGTGGTGGGGCAGGGGTGTGGTGGGCAGGGGTGTGGTGGGGTACACTGGCTTTCAACAAAAGATGGGTGTTGGTACATTAAGAGGCCGTGAGTGGGTGGTGTTGGATAGGTGGGCGAGGACAGTGGGCACTGGGCACAGTTGCAGTGGGCACAGTTGCCCATTTTTAGCAGGTGTTATGGGTTGGGGATTAGGTGGACAGAATGTGGTTGAGCACAGGTGTTGCTTGAGCATACATGTCGTGGTCCAGACGGGTGTTGGTGAACTATAAGATTCTAAAATATTACTACTAATAATAATATTAAAATCGAGCAAGAAACTCTTAGGCGCTGACAAACATGATTTAATTAATTGTTGAAGAATTTCATTAATTTTGTCGTTATATATTATTCATGACGGGTCAACATCAAGAATGCTCAGTTTTTACTTATATTCGTATTATTAGTATTATTTTATTCCAAGTCAACGTTTTGGATTTATTTTTACTGTTGCACATAGACCTTCCTTTATACACATGTGTAAAGACGTGACATTTAGGCCACATTGCAATAGATTTTTTGAGTCATAAAAAAGTGTTTTTAACTTTCAAGTCTATACGATGGAGCATTCTTAAGATGTGTGTGACTGTTCACGCTTGAAGGTGATTAGCAGGAGACGCCTGTGGGTCTCAGTGGATCACATCAGTGTGAATTCTTAGACAATATGGTATGTCCCGTCAACGTGCAGTGATGCACACCACATCACCGTGCCTGGCGCTCGCACAACCCGACCTACACACGTGACTGTTGAGAGGCGGGACCAAAGAGCCGAAGCTCAACCCCTGCAAGCACAACTAGGTGAGTACATGTGACAGGGAGGTGACCAGGGCTCCCTTGCAGCTTGTCACGGCGCAACACCTGTCACGTGTCACGGTGTTCCTTTCTTTCCATATTGGTGCCTTGAGGATTATCACAATCTATTCTGAAGATTTACGAAGATTCCAATCACACTAATAAGACACTTTACCTCTAGATTTGTCTTGAGCAAGTCACTCTTTAGAGTGCAAGTCAATCTTCACATTCACGTCTCGGGTGAGACCAGAGTGTGAATTAATAATAATATTAAAAATAAATATTAATTACTATAATAAAAGAGGTGTTGGTTTCATCAATGGGAATAAAATGTTTTAACATCGAAATAAAAAAATATATAGAATTTTTGTAATAGTGAAAAGCGTAGCTCTCCAAAAGGGAGTATCTCCAAAACGATATTTCGAATTTGGTTGGGGCATTCCTTGTCAATACTATCTCGCTGGCAGTTAAAATGGTGATTGATTAACGGGGGGGGTTTTTCGATATATATTTTGAAGTTTTTTTTTGGAAATAGAATTTGGAGGATTCGACATGCCGTTACAACCATCAGCTGCACCGTCAGCTGTTGACCTCGGGTTGACCTTTTTGCTGCAAGTTGGGTCTTCGCTACTTTGTGACCCAAGGAGGACGGGGGGGGGGTAGAGGAGGAGGGGTTGCAGGAGGAAGCGCTAAGCCTTTGTGTTATTAAAGTGTTTTTGGGGTGTTCATCTGTCTGCTCTTATTCATTATTTTTATTTCTCCTTTATTATCTCTCTTTATTAACCTGTTTAGCATTTAGTCATTGCAGTTTACCGTCTAGCTGTTTAATACGTTAATATTTAACAATTTTACTCACATGGATCATAACAATTATGATAAATGTGAGATTTTCTCGTATCATATTCTCTCTCTCTCTCTCTCTCTCTCTCTCTCTCTCTCTCTCTCTCTCTCTCTCTCTCTCTCTCTCTCTCTCTCTCTCTCTCTCTCTCTCTCTCTCTCTCTCTCATATTATTTTTTCGTTCCTCCTTTGTCTTTCCTTCTGTCTACCTCTATTTTTCCCCTCGTTGTCTTCTCGAGTCTTCCTTTGTGTTGTGGCGCTCCAGCTCGGTGTTGGCTGGCTGCCATGGAAGAGGGGAGGCTGCTGGCTGCCCTAGTGGGTGGGACGTGGGTAGGGTTGTGTGGGACGTGGGTGGGGTTGTGTGGGACGTGGGTGGGGTTGTGTGGGACGTGGGTGGGGTCGTGTGGGACGTGGGTGGGACGTGGGTGGGGTTGTGTGGGACGTGGGTGGGGTCGTGTGGGACGTGGGTGGGACGTGGGTGGAGTTGTGTGGGACGTGGGTGGGGTTGTGTGGGACGTGGGTGGGGTCGTGTGGGACGTGGGTGGGGTCGTGTGGGACGTGGGTGGGACGTGGGTGGGGTTGTGTGGGACGTGGGTGGGGTCGTGTGGGACGTGGGTGGGACGTGGGTGGAGTTGTGTGGGACGTGGGTGGGGTTGTGTGGGACGTGGGTGGGGTTGTGTGGGACGTGGGTGGGGTTGTGTGGGACGTGGGTGGGGTTGTGTGGGACGTGGGTGGGGTCGTGTGGGACGTGGGTGGGGTCGTGTGGGACGTGGGTGGGGTCGTGTGGGACGTGGGTGGGGTCGTGTGGGACGTGGGTGGGTTGCGTGGGTGTGTTGAGTGGAGCATGGGGGCGGGGAGGTTGTGTGGGTGAGAGTGAGATGAGTGAGCATGTGGCTCGGTGAGCGTCTTGGAGATCAAAGCGACTTTGAGGAATCCCTGAAACAGAGAATCTGGAAGCTCCGCTGAGGCTCCTGGATGTTCAGTATGGCCAGGCGACAGAACCTCTGGGAAAATGGAGATCCATAATGGTTTAAGCAAGCTAGCGAGCCTCTGGAAAATGCAGGAAACTAGGGCAATACCCAGGGAGGTGGCGTGCCGCCAACCTGGGCGTCCCTGAAGGGTGGCGTGCCCCTGGAGGATGGCATACTTCACAACTTCCTCCTCACACTCCAGGTCAACACCCACCCCCGCCCACCCCGCCCACAAACACTTAGTCTCGCTGTTTTTACTGCTTGACTTTATTGGTGCTTCGTTTAGCAGGGGGAGTGTGTGTGGTGGTGGTTGTTGTATGTCCCAGATGGTGGTGGTTGCTGTATTGCTATGTGCTCCTGATGGTGGTGGTTCTTGTGTGGTGGTGGTTGTGTTACTGTTAGTGGTGGTGCTTGTGATGCTGGTGGTGATGACAGTGCTTCTGGTGGTGGTGGTACATGTACTGCAAATGGTCATCTTTGACATCCTCGGGTCGTAGGTGACTGGTGTCGTGTTAGAGCTAATTCACCGCTGCCTCACACCAGCCGCCCCGCCGACTCCTCTCACTACTCGGGAAGACATTTCACATTCTCGACTGATGATTCCTTTGCATTTGTCGAATTAAAGACGTTTCCCTCCCCAGCCCTTCCCACGTCCTCCCCAGCCCTTCCCACGTCCTCCCCAGCCCTTCCCACGTCCCCCAGCCCTTCCCACGTCCCCCAGCCCCTTCTCACGTCCTCCCCACCCCTTCCCACGTCCCCCAGCCCCTTCTCACGTCCTCCCCACCTCTTCCCACGTCCCCCAGCCCTTCCCACGTCCCCCAGCCCCTTCCCACGTCCTCCCCACCCCTTCCCACGTCCCCCAGCCCCTTCCCACGTCCTCCCCAGCCCTTCTCACGTCCCCCAACCCCTTCTCACGTCCTCCCCACCCCTTTCCACGTCCCCCAGCCCTTCCCTCGTCCTCCCCAGCCCCTTCCCACGTCCTCCCCAGCCCTTCCCACGTCCCCCAGCCCCTTCTCACGTCCTCCCCACCCCTTCCCACGTCCCCCAGCCCTTCCCACGTCCCCCAGCCCCTTCTCACGTCCTCCCCACCCCTTCCCACGTCCCCCAGCCCTTCCCACGTCCCCCAGCCCCTTCCCACGTCCTCCCCAGCCCCTTCCCACGTCCTCCCCAGCCCTTCCCACGTCCTCCCCAGCCCCTTCCCACGTCCTCCCCAGCCCCTTCCCACGTCCTCCCCAGCCCCTTCCCACGTCCTCCCTACCCCTTCCCACGTCCTCCCTACCCCTTCCCACGTCCTCCCTACCCCTTCCCACGTCCTCCCTACCCCTTCCCACGTCCTCCCTACCCCTTCCCACGTCCTCCCCACCCCTTCCCACGTCCTCCCCACCCCTTCCCACGTCCTCCCCACCCCTTCCCACGTCCTCCCTACCCCTTCCCACGTCCTCCCTACCCCTTCCCACGTCCTCCCTACCCCTTCCCACGTCCTCCCTACCCCTTCCCACGTCCTCCCTACCCCTTCCCACGTCCTCCCTACCCCTTCCCACGTCCTCCCTACCCCTTCCCACGTCCTCCCTACCCCTTCCCACGTAGTGCTCCTTACCCGCGTCCTCACCCTTTCCCGTCACCCACCCCTTCCTCCGCCCATCCTGGCTGAAAGTGTTTCTCCAAGGCTGCGTTAGCAAGTGGAAGCAATGTCCGGTAATGGAGGGTGGTGGATTGTGCTGGTGATAATGCCTTGACTCGGGGAGTGACTGCTTGCTACCTGCTTGATGGGGTTCTGGGAGTTCTTCTACTCCCCAAGTCCGGCCCGAAGCCAGGCAATGGCACCTTCTCTGGCACTTGTCACTTGGGAGTGACTATGGCACCACCTCTGGCCCTTGTGACTATGGCACCACCTCTGGCCCTTGTGACTATGGCACCACCTCTGGCCCTTGTGACTATGGCACCACCTCTGGCCCTTGTGACTAGGATACATCCGGATACAATAATTATATCCTTCTCCAGTTATACCATGAGTATGCAAGGTATAACTGGCAAAGTAGAGAGATGGATCTTTTGTTTCCTGATAAATAGAACTCAAAGAATAATAGTCAATAACGTAAATCTGGACCGTCCTCGGTAAAGTGCTCGGTACCCCCAGGGTGCCGTGCTTGCTCCAGGGGCTCCTCATTCTTATTCTTGGTCGCCCTCATATGTGACCGACAATGACTTGAGACCCAGTAGATCGCATCCTCCTCCCCAGATGGCTTTAAGATGTGTATGAGAGTAGGCATTACAAAGGACACAACACACCTGGTTGATGGGGTTCTGGGAGTTGTTCTACTCCCCAAGCCCGGCCGTGACTTGTGAGAGTTTGGTCCACTAGGCTGTTGCTTGGAGCGGCCCGCAGGCCCACATACCCACCACAGCCCGGTTGGTCCGGCACGCCTTGGAGGAAACAATCTAGTTTCCTGTTGAAGATGTCCACGGTTGTTCCGGCAATATTTCTTATGCTCGCTGGGAACCTCTACACCTCTACACTGGTGTAAACAAAGAATTTAAATTAACCTGAACATGCAAGACACATTTAAGTCACACTATATAAAGAAATCTAAGTAAATGTCCTGAAATAATCATGTCGGAAGATCTTACTTTATATAAAAAAAATAAGTGGTTGTCACAACTACAGGAAAAAAGTTTGAAGGAACAGCCCATCATCCCAAAAATAGATAGTACTCATAGCAACTATTGGCCCGAAAGTACTAAAATGGACTGTTGTAACCAACAATATTCACGTTTTGTACTATTAACTTTATTGAGAACCAAAAAAATATGCCTAAAATCAAGCCTAAACATTCCTAGTAGTGTTGTTATTATTATTATTATTATTATTATTATTATTATTATTATTATTATTATATTAGTATTATTAGTAGTAGTATTAGCCTCGGGCTAATACATAGCGTTTTGCCCGACACGCTATGTGTATTAGTGGCTTTAAGTATTGTATGTACTACCTCTATAAATCCGACATTATGTTTGTAAATCATCTACGTATGTACTTTTCCTGAATAAAACTTTTTAATTTGAATTGTAGGCCTATTTAAGTGTAAGACGTAACTGTACGATCTTACAGTTATCCTTAAGATAACCGCCTTAAGATAGCGATTATATTAGGGTTGCTTGGGCAGGTTAGGTCAGATTTTTTAGTTACATTTCACTTTTTTTTTCATATCTGGGATAATCCAGTAATTTAAAGTGTGAACGTTTTGGGGGATCCAACAGTCCATTTATGTACGTTGGAGCAAATGGTTGCTATAAGTACTGTCATTCCAGGAGGATGAGCTAGAAAATAATGTCTTTAAATTTAGAGATGCCCGGCTGCTGGTAGGGGGGTACAGCAGGGGGCGTCGACCCCTGGGGGAGGGGGTTAGGGGGTGGGAGTGATGCAGCGGTGGTGGCCTGTGAGTGACAGGTGCAGAATGGTCATCAAGCGGTGACAGAGGAGGCTAATTGGGTCCAGCACCTGTTCCCTGCCCTGGAGTGGTCTTCCCCCCCACCCTCCCCTCTTACCATTCCCTTTCCACCACCTAATATGCCCCTCCCTCCCTCCCTTTCCACCCTTTCTCATGCCAGCTCAACTTGTATTGACCACGTCTGCTCTCCTCTCTGTCTGCTCTTCCGATCTCCCACAAAAATGTTTGTCTTCCACTCTGGAAATATTTGCAGTGCTGAATGGATCATTATAGATCACAGGCCTCGAGATATTGCCCAGTTGTAGGGCACAGGAAGCCTGTACTTGTTGAGGTCTAGGCCGACTGCTGGCCTTCCCCAGGCTGCAACCCACAACAGTTACCTAACTCCCAGGCGCCTGTTTACTGCTAGGAGAACAGAGGCATCGGGTAAAAGGAAACATGCCCAACCGTTTCTGACCTTGGCTGGGAATTGAACCCGGGTCTACCGATAGTGAATTGAGGACTTTAATTTTGTTAAATTGTATTGTGAAGGGAGGAATAGTAGCCCTTAAATGTTGCAAGATTATCATAGCTGTTGTTGTTTAAGATTCGCTACCTGGAACAAGAAGTTCCAAGTAGCACGGGCTATGGTGAGCCCGTAGAGGTGGTGGTGTTTGTGCGCCGCCCCCCTCCCCCCCGGGGCCCACTACAGCGTGGGTACTCACCTAGTTGTGGCTTGCGGGGGTTGAGCTCTGCTCTGTCGACTCGCCTCTCAACTGTCAATCAGTCAACTGTTACTAACTACTAACAATTTTTTTCCCTCTCTCTCTCACACACACACACACACACACACACACACACACACACACACACACACACACACACACACACACACACACACACACACACACACACACACACACCCAGGAAGCAGCCCGTGACAGCTGACTAACTCCCAGGCACCTATTTACTGCTAGGTAACAGGGGCATGAGGGTGAAAGAAACTCTGCCCATCGTTTCTCGCCGGCGCCGGGAATCGAACCCGGGCCACAGGATCACGTGTCCAGCGTGCTATCCACACAGCCACCGCCGCGCGCGCGTGCCTGTGCTCGCGTATTCGTTTCGAACTGGCCATGCTTTGTCGGTGTTACATACTCATAACACTGGTCTGACGTACTTGTGTATTTACCTAATTGTATGCGTCTAATTATGCGACTGTAGAGGTTGAGATTCAGCTCTTTGCTCCCGCCTCTCACCATTCACTCAACTGGTGTACAGGTTCTTGGCCCTTTCCAGGCTCTGCTTATATATATTCATCAGAGGTACTCGGTCTCCTACTTAAGCAAGGGAACACATTCTGTCTAATGCGTCAGTATCTTGCTGGCTACTTCAGTTTCTCCAACCTCCCTTGTTAGTATACCACTAATGCCTTATAGTCTGCCCTTATCTACTTCCTCTACTTATCTACTCTCTTTTCTCGATTTACCACTCCGTGAAAAATGCAACGGTTCTGCCAAACACAGCAACTTGCCTAACCTGTCGAGATCGATGTATACAAACCGTTAATATTACGGTGCTTTAACGTGTACTAATATGTCGCAATTTTAACGGACTGGTCGACTCCGTTAAGAATGCGACGTATGTAGTGAGAGATTATGTGATGTGGTAACTTTTCTACTAGTGACATGAGGTTGTTGTTGTTTAAGATTCGCTACCTGAAACAAAGTTCCAAGTAGCACGGGC